TTTCTTTCTTTCTTTCTTTCTTTCTTTCTTTCTTTCTTTCTTTCTTTGTCTTATTTTTTTATTTTGGTGTATCTGCAGGATGTGCATGCACATGTCTACATGCATATGTGAAGGCCAGAAGACCTTAGATGATGTCATTTCTTCAGGGAATACCACCCTGGGTGTATGTTTGAGTGTGTGCATATGTGGGTTCATGTGTGTGCTGGTGTGTGTGGAGTGCATTTCTGCAGATTCACTTGCATATTCAGGTATACGTGTGTGTTTGCACTCACTTGGAGGGCATATGTATATAGGCATATGTGTGTACACGTATGTGTCTAGGTCTAAGGGGAAACATGTATTTGTTGTATGTGTGTCCGGTACGAATCTGTATGTGGACGCGTGTGTGTGTGTGTGTGTGTGTGTGTGCATTTGTGTATGTGGATTGGTGTGTGCAGGTACATGTATGTTTGCAAATACTTATGTGTGTATGAGAGCAACTGTGTGTAGAACATGCATGTATGCAAGTGCATGTGTGTATGCAGTGGTATGTATGTGTAAGTACATCTATAATGAAAGTATACGTGTGTACCCAGGTACAATCAAATAAATAAATATAATTTTTCAAAAGGAAGACTCTAAAAGACAAACTGCTGTGTCTCTGAGCAAAGCTCAGGAACTACAGAGCACAGGCTTGCAGCCTGCTGACCAGAGCTGAGCTCCTGGCCACAGTCACCTGCAGAGGGCGAGGGTGGGCTGGAGGCTGCAAGCATTTGATGAAAGAGTGCACTTTTCTGACATTCTGCTATTGAGGAGACGGGAATACTGGGGTCCGGCTCCAGTATAGGGCAAGAAGGCAGTTGTGACTAAAATGGCACGTTCAGCAGCGGTTGGTGTGTGCACATTTCCTTCCACTTTCTCACAGCTCAATAAAGTGAAGAAGAATCCTGTACGCAGTGAAGAAGGTCGTGCGGGGAGCGTGGTGGTGGTGCAGGGGTATCTGCCACTCTCCAAAACGACTCCTGAAAAGCAGCAAGGAAAGGCAGGTAATTAAACTGTAAAATGGCAAGTGACCCAAGCAGGCACGTCACAGTGCAGTGCCTCCCAGCATTTGGCAGGGTTAGTGGCATTTCTCAGGATGGAACCCAAGGACTTACATGTGCTGGGAAGGTCCTCTAACACCGAGGTACTCCCCAGGCCTCTTTTGCTTTTTATGTTGAGACAGGGTCTCATTAAGTTGCCCAAACTGGCCTTAACTTGAGATTCACCTACATCAGACTTCCATGTAGCCGGAATGAGAGCTTGAGCCACCAGGCCTGGCTGCTCGTCGAAACTGTAATAAGCATAACTCAGGGTACTCATCTGAGAAACGGGAAGCTCAGTTTACTGCAAGAATAAGCAAGGAGCTGGTCAGCAGTGACTCCAAAGTCCACCTTGCCAGGCATGGGAAGGCCATGATCTGGTCAGGAGGGGCCCAGCTCCCCAGGCATAAGGAGGCTGTGCTGCTGTTGAGATGCACATGGGGCCAGTGCACTGACTCGTACACACACATGAAGACAGTATGGAGATGTGGAAATGAGCATTCATTTAAAGTGTTTGCACGGATGTGCGCGTTGCAATAACATTGTTCTGAATATCTCAGCATAAGAAAAGAATGAACAAAACCATGCTTATTTCTTTTTTGTTTGTTTGTTTGTTGGAGGGGCTTTATTTGCTTGTTTATTTGCTTTTTGAGACAGGATCTCTCTATGTAATAACCCTGGCTATTCTGGAACTCAATTTATAGACCAGTCTGTCCTCACACTCACAGAGATCCTCCTGCCTCTGCTTCCTGGGATTAAAGGCGTGTGCCACTATGCCCGGCTGTGCATATTTATTTCTTAAATTATTTTTTGACAGCTAAAAATGTTTTAGAAATATGGAATGCTTCGTGAATTTGTGTGTCATCCTTGATAGGAGCCATGCTAACCTTCTCTGTAGAGTTTCAATTTTAGTGTATGTGCTACCAAAGAGAACATATTAAATTCTTAAAATGCTAAAAATGTTTGCTATTCCACCTGAATTTGTGAAGCTGCGCACATGAGTGAGCACATAGGACCAAGAGCGAGACACCCTCCAGGAGCAGGAAGCCTAGGGTCAACCCAGTTAACTATCAGGGCATCACATGCCCAGGGCTAACATTAATTGCATTTGTGTGCATGTGTACATGCATGCATGTGTGTATACATAAACTTATGTATGTGGTATACATGTATGTGAGTGCATGAGCTCATGTGTGTATGGTGTATATATATGGTATGAGTACACATATGTGCAAGAGCTTGTATGTGTGTGGTGTATATGTCTGGGAGTGCATGTGTGTGCTTGTGTGGTGTTTATGTGTATGTGAGTATATATGTGAGCATGAACTCTTTTGTGTATGTATGATGTGTGCATGTGTGTGAGTATATGTATGTGTGCTGTATATGTGAGCGAGTACATGTGTGTGCATGTATTTATGTTTGTGAATTCATGTGTGTGTGTGCATGTTTCAACTTTAGCCTCCTTGTCACTCCTAATATCATGAAGAGCCAAGTGTGGTCCTATGTAAATGTCTACTGTAATTTACAGGAAACTATTAGGTTGTTCCTTTAGAGTCAGGCCCTTGTGGGTTCCCACAAGGCCAGGGTGAGGCTTCAGTTCCACATCCTCCCCAACTCTTTTTCCTGTTTCCTAACTGTCAGTCATTCTGAGTGGCAGGAGGTGAGAATTTGTAGTTTCTATTTTAATCTCCACGATTCTCAGTGTGTTGGGTATCTGTGGCAGCTGGTTGTGCATAGCCATTCGCAAGCTCAGTTGTTTGAACACTTGGTCCCCAGTGGTGGTGCTGTCTGGGAATTTCTGGAAGGTGGGACTTAATTAGAAGCTGCTCAAGGGAGCTGTAGTATGACTATTTCAGGGGAGTTATGAACAAATGTCTGTTCATCCCAAGCACATCACAAACAACAGACCAAACGTCTGTCCAGTTTAGTGAGTCAGCGGGATTGGGATAAAATTGACAGAAGTGTGGGTGGGGTGCACTTACAGGAGCATCAGATAATTTGGTAAAGCAGCCCCGGAGATCCCTGCACAGCCTGTAGGCAGTTTCACTGAAGAGTCTCCCCTCTAACCATCGTTACTGCTCATATAATCTCAAGGAGAGGCCTTCCATGTCTTGTATTCCGTGGTCTTCTAGAGCCTTGTAACTTTCCTTTGATCTTAAACAGACTCTCAAGAAGGGAATGCTTTGGTTAGGAAGAAGTAACTGCACAAAAGGAACCTTAAGGGTTAGAGCCAGTCTAGGATTTCTGACAGCTTTGTTTTCCTCCTGGTTGGCTAAGATATGAACAAACTGCACAGCCCACTGTCACCATGGCTTTCCCACCATGATGGACTGAATCAGCTCAGTCTCTGAGCCAAAATAACCCAGATTTGTTGACATTACTCATTCTTTGATATTTGGTCACAGCATCTCTACCAGTAGTGTGTGTGCTGCCACGGTGTCTCTGCCTGTAGTGTGTGTGCTGCCACGGTGTCTCTGTCTGTAGTGTGTGTGCTGCCACGGTGTCTCTGCCTGTAGTGTGTGCTGCCACGGTGTCTCTGCCTGTAGTGTGTGCTGCCACGGTGTCTCTGCCTGTAGTGTGTGCTGCCACGGTGTCTCTGTCTGTAGTGTGTGCGCTGCCACAGTGTCTCTGCCTGTAGTGTGTGCTGCTATGGTGTCTCTGTCTGTAGTGTGTGTGCTGCTGCGGTGTCTCTGCCTGTAGTGTGTGCGCTGCCACGGTGTCTCTGCCTGTAGTGTGTGTGCTGCTATGATGTTTCTGCCTGTAGTGTGTGTGTTGCCATGATGTCTCTGCCTGTAGTATGTATACTGCTATGGTGTCTCTGCCTGTAGTGTGTGTGTTGCTACAGCATCTCTGCCTGTACTGTGTATACTGCTACAGTGTCTCTGTCTGTAGTGTGTGTGTGCTGTTACAGTATCTCTGCCTGTAGTGTGTGTATACTGCTACAGTGTCTTTGTCTGTAGTGTGTGTATACTGCTACAGTGTCTCTGTCTGTAGTGTG